TACAACGACTACTCCACTTCCAAGTACAAGACTGAGTACAACATTGCCAACGTCTACTGTACTTCCAAGTACAAGAGTGAGTACAACATTGCCCATAACTACTCCACTTGCAAGTACAAGACAGATTACAACAATGGCAACCACTCCAATTGAAAGTGCAAGGACAAGTACTGCAGTTCTAACAACTACTCCACTTGCAAGTACAAGAAGCAGCATAACATTGCCGACAACTCACACTCATATTCCAAGTCTGGGGAAGAGTACAACAATCCCAACAACCATCCCACTTGTTACCAGAAGAATCACTAGGACACTACCAACAACCAGTCCAGTGGCAAGTACAACAGTTAGTACACCACCACCAATTACTACTCAACTACCAAGAACATCAGAGAGTACAGCATGGCCAACATCGAGGATGGTAACAACATTTCCAGTGACAACTCACCTCAGGAGCACAGCTTCAAAACCTTTACAGCCTGTTCCAGGTCAAGGTAAAAGTCACTTTTTCATCACACTTGCTACTACTTGAGGGCAGCCATTTTGATAATCTGGACAATCCATTACCTTGTAATGAATGTATTCAGATACATATTTGTTCTTGAATCACTCTGATCAGGTGGTGGCAGCGGCCAAATTTCTCCAGGATCTCCCCCTACACAACGCAATGAGTTTGCATTCTCAGTTGAACCAACTACTTTGGCAATGGATGCAGCACCACCAACAAGTCTTATTGCTACTGCAACTGCATTGTTGAAAACAGCATTGCCACAAACTACTTCACTTGCAAGTACAATAAAGAGTTCAGTTCTTCCAACACCAAGCATAACAACTGCATTAAAACCACTACAGCCTCTTCCGGGTGAAGGTAAGTCATCACTTAAGATTCTTAAAGGCATACAAATATGACCATATCCATTTGTGTAATTTTAAAATCACTGGGTTAACCTGTTTTTAAAATTATCATTTCTATTTTCCATCTCTGAGCATTCATATACATAGGAAACGATTCTATCGGTGATAGCAGTGTCTGCTGTTGTACTTATCAAGGCACTTTGTAACTTGATCATTTTTTTGGAATGAACCATGGGCAGAGATCCTGGGAGTTTGGAGATACATCCTCTCCCACTACACTTTTCAAGTCAGATTTTATGCGCACCTGCATCACACATCATTGACTCCACACTCGCCAAAGTCACAATCTCACCTGGGATGGAGACCTTGCTGGGTTCGATGAGTGAATAGAAAATCATCACCCCATGTCATGCACGCCTTATTCCATCTCCACCCACGGAACTAGTTACAGTACCTTACTGATTCAAATATTACCATCATATCAATGCAAACATTTTTTTGCAAATTATTCTTGTCAGGAACAGGTAATGGTGAAATATCTCAAGGAACTCCCTCCACACAAAAAAATGAATTTGCATTCTCAGCTAAACCAAAGACCTCCAGTGTGAGTTCAACACTGGCAACAACATCTTCACTTCCAGTGACAACTTTGCTGTTGAGAACAGCACTTCTAACAGGTCCAGTATCCTCAACAAC